AAGGAAATAATAAAGATTAAAGCAGACATAAACAAAACAGAATAAAGAGAGTTGAGAAAATCTACTATTTTTATTGAAAAGATCCACTCCCCCAGAATTAGAAATTATTGCTTAATGAATATAGAGTTTCCATTTTATAGGGTGAAAAGAGCTATGGAGATGAATAGTAGTGATGGATAGATAGCATTATAAACGTGTTTAATACCAATAAATTGTACACTTAAAAATGTTTATAATGGAAGATTTATGTTATGTATATTTTAGCACAATAAAAAAACTGGAAAATAATTACTTGTCTAGGATCTATGGTTGCATGTGCTTTATAGGCTTGTTCTTCTCTAACTTTATTAAATAATGAGACATCTTGCTAAGAGGTAAGTTCAGTTAGTCTTGAGTGGAGCCCCAAAGTCTGCATTTCTAAACTTCCAAAGTGAAACTGATGCTGTTGATTCTGAGCCATGACCCACATTTTGAGTAACAAGGTTTTATAAAATTTGTAAAGGTAAGATAGACAGCATCTGAGATTCAAACCAAACACATTAAATAATTAAATGACAGTTGCCTCAAAATGAGATGGGATGCAATAGAATTTGAGATGTGCTCTTTTCTGAACACTAAATATGACAAGTTCTATAAAGATTGAGTCTCAGGTTATCTATTATCTATTGCTACATAGCAAAATTATTGGCTTAAAACAACATCAAATATTTATTTTGCTCATGAATCTGAAATTTGGGCAAAGCTTTGCAGAGATAGCTTGTCTCTGTTCCACATGGCACCAACTGAGACAGCTCAACTGGGGACTGAAGAGCCACTTTCAAAATGCCTCATTCTTATGGCTGGCAAATTGCTGGCTTTTAGCTGTGAGTTCAGCCAAGGCTGGAGGACAACATTCTCAGTACCTCTACATAACACCCCTCCATCAGCTATTTAAGCTTTCTCGTAGCATAGTGACTGAGTTCCAAGAGCAAGTGTCTCAAGGGAACAAAGACAGGACATTTTTATGATCTGGTCTTAGAAATTATATAGTATCACTTCTGTCATATTTTTTTTTGTTAATACAATTTTAAAGCTTTACCAGATTCAAGAACAAAGACCTGACTCTACATTTTGATGGTGGAATATCAAAATTCTAGAAGAATATGAAAGACGAGGTATTTAACTGAAGTCATCTTTTAAAAATATAATCTGTTGCTAGGCATGGTGACGCACACCTGTAATCCCAGCATCTCTGGAGACTGAGGCAGGGGGGGATCACAAAGCCCCCTCAAAGCCAGCCTCAGCATTGACAAGATTCTAAGCAACTCAGTGAGACCCTGTCTCTAAATAAAATACAAAATAGGGTTGGGGATGAGGCTCAGTGGCCAAAGACCCCTGAGTTCAATCCCCAGTACCAGAAAAAAAATACAATATATAATCCCAGTGACTTGTGGGGAAAAGGTAGGAAATTGCAAGTTTAAGGTCAGCCTCGGCAATTTAGTAAGACCCTGTGTCAAAATAAAAAATATCAAAATGGTTGGAGATGTAGCTCAATTGCTTTGGTAAAGCATCCTCATGTTCAAAACACAAAAAAGAAAAGAAAAATGCAATATGCTATACCTATTAACCTCAAATATTTGGGGGAACAAATGATAAATCAGTTAAGATATAAAATTCTTTAATTCTAGCCCATCCTCACTCATATTTGTGTGTATCTTGAGAAGAAGAAAAGAAACATAAAACAGATAAGAAATGGAAGAAAAGTTGGAAGAAGAAAAATGATGACAAAAGTAAAAAAAAGGAGGTAAAATGTAAGCAAACAAAAAAGTATGTATAAATATCAAGACAAATATTTGTTCATTTTCTTCCCTACTATATTACTCTGCTACCTATAAAAGAGTAGGTGGGTACAAATCTGATTGATTGAGAAGCTCCTTTTGTTACTTGCTGCCATTCTATTGTAAAAAGGTGGTGAGATTGGTGACTGGTAGGTACTGGACGATAATAACTGAGTTGAGCTATTTTTCTTTCAAAAACTGAATGACAACAGGAAAATGAATTTGAATGGAGAACATAGGGCTTTCTTAGGCAGCTCTCATCTATCACAAGACCTCAATTGAGAGGGATGGGAGCTAGAGTTGGGAAAAAGTAGCCATACTGACTCATTCACTAACTGTAACTTTGCCAACTTATATTTGCTTTCTTAAAATTTGAGATGGCTTCAGTGAAAAACACACTGGGGGGGTGTTCTTTAGACTAAATCAGTTTCCCTGATTTACCATCACCACGATTATCTTCCAGTTTACAGTGAGAAATGCTAGTTACAATGAGACATGGAAACAAAATGTCCCTATTGTACTCAGTGATTGGTACTCAAACAGTGTTTCCTGTGCTGTTACCCAGAGGCAGCATTTCAAAGACCCAGAGAGGCTATTTCCACCACAAATTTTACACTCATTTTCTTTCAAACAAAATCATAAGCATGCCTGTGTATCAGAATCCCATCATTTTTGCACTCTAGCTTTGACTTCCCACTTCAGGTTCCAAAGTTAAAGACTTCTGGGATGAAGCAACCGCTGGCTGATAGATGAGAATGTTCCAATCATGCTATTGAATTGGGTTCCTGGAGGAAAGATGAGGAAAAAGGATGTGTATTTTCTTGGTTTCTGCCCAGGCATGTCTGTTCTGTAGGCGTTCTGGAGTTCTTCCCAGAAGGCAGATCTCAAATCTTCAATGCCAATCATGAATAAGAGCTCCATCTACTTTAAAGAATGAAACCTGTTCAGTGTGGTATGAATGAACAGTAACAGGCTACAAGAAGAAATTGCTGATCTTCACCTACACTGAGGTGCTGCGAGAAAGAGCCACCTCATTCACGCTCTCCTCTTCTATTTCCTGTATCAAACCCTTCTCATTCCCAAGGTGTCAAGGAGCCCACTGAGAGATAGCTGGGTGGACCTGCGTTGTCTGCTTAGATGTATATGGCTTAGGGTACATTAGTTATTTTCCCTCCCTGGTGCTTCCACATAGAATAAGAGTCTTTATCCCTCTTTATCTTCCTCTGAACTTTGCAAAGAAAGTCATTACAAAAATGCTGGGGGAAATCCTGCCATCTTTTATACCTGCTGTCAGGATACATTGTGCATTCTCAACACAGAAAGTCTAGAAACAGAGCCTTTCCTGCTATGTTAATGCATTATCAGGAAAGCATTATCATTAGTCACAATATTTTCTGATGATGAAGAAAATGAATATAAGACACTGGAACCATGAAGCTGAACACAAGTGTAATGAGGCCCTGAACTCCTTGGAATGCCTCTGCTTCATTCTGCTTGCACTCTATCCTCCAGTTCCTCCTTGCTTGTTTATATCAGACAAAATGTATTAGCCTTGTGTATTCTCTTGGTCCCTTAATTAGGGGGAGAACATCCTAGGGGTTTACACTCAAGCGGGGGAGTTGTAGTCTCAATATAGTTATGCCACATTACTAATACATTTATACCCAATAAATCATGAGCACCTTGGATACGGCACCTAATTCTCTACGCCTCTGTATTAGTTTGCTAGGGCTGCCACAACTAAATACCATAGAAACAAAAGATTTGCTCAATATATCCATAGGCTGGATGGATTAAACAAGGGGATTTTATTTTCTCAAAGTTCTAGAGGTTTGAAGTCCAAGATCAATGGGTTGGCAGGTTTCGTTCCTCCTGAGTCTTTTTTCCTTGGACCGCAGACAGAAACCATCTTTCTGTGTCCTCATGTGGCCTCTATGCATTCCTGGTATCTCTACCTCTTCTTATAAAGGCACCAGTCCTACTGAAATTGGGCATGCCTTAAAGCCTTCATTTTAATTCAGTCTTAATTTCAAATAGTCTTATTCTAAGATTAAGTCTTCAACATATGAATTTGGAGGCACAACTCAGTTAATAACAGCCTTGATAAAAATAAACATGAGGATTAATGTAAGATGCAAACAAGAACACGACTTAGAAAATGCTCTCTAAGTCACCACACAAATATTGTATTATTGGTTACACTATTATTGTCATTCTAATTATTATTCTTTCTGAAATATTGTCAGTCTCCTGAGAAATCTAAATATTCTACCTTTGGAAGAATTATACCAAAGTGATTAAGAGAATTAAAATGTCTAGATCCAAAGCTCAGCTCCATTTGTTAGCTGTGTGACCTCCAGAAATTAAGTTAACTTCCCTGAGCCTTAATTTCCCTATCTATCAATTGAGGAAGGTAAAAATAGTACCAAAATTATAGAATTCTTGAAATGATTAAAAGAGGCAATACTTCAGAATGGCTGGCTAATAGTACATGCTCAATAAATGATGGTTATTGTTATTGTTCGCATTTAAACCTCCCTGCTGCTGGTCCTGTTGCTGCCTCTTTCTCAGCCAGCAGAGGTCCCCATCATAATCAAATGAGGACTAGCTTTTTCATGACAGTAGGCATCGCAGCTGCCAAGCTCATCTACGGTTGGCAGAGGAAATAGTGAAAGACTCACTGCCTTGTCTAAAGGTAGGAGAAGAAATTGAAAATAAGAGAACAGGGAATGACAATTTTGCCAGGATTCCATGGTAAAATGTTTACATGAGCAGGCGAGCACAGGTTAAGATTGTCTATGTTTTAGTGTTGACTTCCACTGACATGGCCCTCTGTTGTATCTCATTTTAGCCTGTTCTAAAGCTAGGCTAAAACTAATAAAACCCATATATATCACAGAGGAGCAGTAAGAAAAAATTTGGCAAATATTTGTAAAGGTCACTGACAATAAAAAATGCTGCTAAATAAAAATTTAATATTTCTTATAATATAGGCTTATTTCATCTCTATCACTAGTTATACTCCATGCCTCAGTTTTGCTTCCACTGTAATATATTTCCTTTAACCTTCTTTTCCCAGACAGGCATACACCTCCAAGTTCAATTATTCTGTCAATTGTGTTTTAAATTGTACTCATTTCCATTAACTACTTGTGGTATCAATTTGATGATCTAGCCCTTCTGAACCAATCATCTTTACATCCACCAAAAGCTGGAAAAGCAAGTAAACGGAAGATGCTGAGAGTTATTCAAGATAAATAAAGTGGAAAAAAACTGAGATTAAAGAGAGAACTGAGGGGAAAATACCATGTACTAAAAAGCACAGTACAGAAGCAGATAGAGACAGAGGGAAAAGAGGAGCGCGAGGTAGAAAACGATCCTGCTTATGCCTACTCCATCTCTCTTTCAGCACCAAGGACAGAGGCTCTGAGCAGCTGACCCAAACAGCATTCCGTTGGGGGTCCTTCTCAGTTTCTCTGGGGGAAGCAGATGCACTAGAAAGCAGCTATAAGACATGCAGTAAGGTCTAACAGGAAAGCTGAAAGAGCAGCACACAATTTCACCTTAGAGGCAAAAATGGGTGATTATCTTTCTGTTCATTTCCTTAGTTTCTGTGTCCTGGGAAAGGCAAAGTTTGAATTGCTTGGGTTTCTCTGCTGTCAGTAAATGGCTGCAGCAGCTGACGTACTAAACTTCACAATCTTCAGAAATCAGAAGAAATTTTTAGGGTAAGTAATTTTTCTTTTTGTTTCTAATTGATTACATAATTTTACTGGAAGATTATTTGATTAGCTTGGAGTTCTTTGGTTCTTTAAGAATACATATCAAAATTTCATGCCACTCTGATTTAAAAAACTGAAAAACTGTTTTCATTTTTCTTAAGTAGTTGGACAGTAAAAACCTGTTCTCTCTCTTTTTATTTTCTTTTTTGTCCAAAATTGTATCTTCATGGGCTCTAGAAGCTGTATCAAGACAGAAATAAAAGATAGAAAACAGCAGTCTGCAATTATTCTTGGGATTTATATGGAAGTTGATGGGCATTACTCTTAAGTATTTTACTTAATTGTAAAGGTCTGTTATTTGAAACTCCCCAATTCAGCACCCTAGTAATACAGGGCTGAGGGTTTGGAGAGGCAATATTTTAATGATTTATTTAAAGTCAGGCTGTTTCCAAGTCAAAATCCAATTATTCCCAACAGAGATATGTAGTACTTGAGATAATGATTGTGTATATTTTCTTCAATGAGAGTATATGATTTTGAGGGTATTTTTGTTTAATTGTGAGACTTCCGTTACTTATTGTAGTTTATTGAATCAACAGAAGTTTTTGCAATTAGGTGATTTTTCCAGTTAAGGCACTTAGTTTAATCAAATGCCACCAAAATGCATGCAGAATAGCAAAATGGAACTTGGATTTTAAACTCATTCTGCATGCCTATTTGCACTTTACAGGTCAGTGAAATGTCTGTCCTTGAGTAGGAGTGCAGGATAGCTACTTGAAATGGCCTTGGAATCTCTTATAACCAAATAGGAGAGTAAATGTTTGAGAAAGATTCTTACTCAAGAAATTATTTACTTATTAGTTGAATATCTTCAAGGGTCTGTGTGGCTAGTAGTGAGCAGAGAGGTGTTGAGTAAGGAAAATACTGATGGTATCCAAATAATATGGATTTTAATGAAATATGCATTAAAGCAAATGCCAGTAGGTTTTTACCAATATTAAATTTCCTTTCTAATGCATTGAGTTTGTCATCAAGTAATATTTGCTTGTTGATTGCTTGATCTATTGACTTATCTTGTTTTATCTCTGATTAGAATGATAGAATGCTCAGTCTTTAGAGATTGTCAAAGAAAATAAGGGTGCTTAACTTTATGGGGCAGGTTTAATGAGGGAAAAAAAATTTTCTTACCTTACTTATTGGATTTCAGTTACCAGTTAGGGTTCTTCTTTGTATACTTACCAACAATGTAAATATACACAAATATATAAATGTGCTATTTATTTCATTGCACTTGTGAATCTTCATTAGGAAAATAAACTAGATAGCAATTTGCAAGAATTAAGTACCAGAGAAATACTAAAAACTACCTCTAATAATAATGACAATGTAACTCCCACTGGTTCTATGAGCAGAATGCACCTGCATTGACTTTAATGAAGTTGGTAAGGTAAGGTGCACAAAATACTCTGAACAAACAAGATCTTAAAATTTGCCCCTGTCACAGATTTGTCCACCTCATCCCACTAGTGAAGTAGTTAAGAACATGAGCTCTAGACTCAGACAGATTTTAAGTTTAATCAGCTCCATCATTTACTGGCTTATGACCTCATCTCTCCATGACTCACTTTCTTCATCTACAAAAATGGGGATAATTATAGCATCTCCATTCTTCATCTGGCTGTTGTGAGACTTAAAGAAGATAATGCTTATAAATGTTAGTTTTTATAATTATTAACTTTATCAAGAAATTTAGCAAGTCTGAATTGAATCCCAGACCAAAAAGCTACAGATATTTAGGATGGGAGTGAGTAAAAGATAATAGATGGCAACAGCCAGGAGCCTGTGATGTAAGGGGGGACGTGTCATGGAACCTGCTACCAAGGTGTTTTATTCTGGTGGAGGAAAACCCATATCAACCTGCGATTGACTCCCCAAATCAGCTTTCCCAGCACAGACACACTAAACATGTGATCTGGGAGTCAGGGAGATCTGTGATTGAAGGTTGGCTCACATCAATTCCTTACAGGTTGTGGGATCTTGAGAGTTACTGAACCTCTCTCCATCCATTTCTTAATCCACAAAAGGAGAATATTGATAACCTCCTTGAGAGCTGCTATATATATTAAAATGAGATGATACACGTGAAGAACTAGCACCTGGCACACAGAAGTAGCCCAGAAGTGGTTGTCTTCAGAAGGAGATTGAGGACTCTGGGTGTTTTAGGTTCCATTATATTGGGCGTTTATTCAATTCAATACCCTTTTTTAAAGAACAAATAATTAAAGCCCTATAACTCTTAATGAGTTTCCAGATACCATGGAGGTGTCAAACAAATTTTTTAGGCAGACTTTCACTCAACATTAAGGGACTGAATATCACCAGAACGGGACATATATCATAGTTGATGGGGATCTGATCCCTCTGTCTCCTTCTTAAACTAGATTATGCACTCATTCTAAAAAATTTTTTAAAAAAAGATAAATCAACATTTTGTGAGAAAGTTAAAGGATACTTAAAATTTGTAAGTAAGTTTATATGTAATGAATCTTAAGAGAATAAAGCCAGCAGTAATCTTTTATTCCTTGCCTTCTTCACTTTCTCACCATCCATCCACTCTTCATTTCAAATGTTCTTTGCTGAGGTCATCAGAAATCTGCTAATTTCCAAGTCCATTAGACTGTCTGCAATTGTAGTTTATTTGACCCATTCACCTAGTCACACTTTCCTGTGAACAATAAAAGCTCCCATATTTCAAGTGCTGTGTACCAGACCTTATGCTGGAGAAGTAATTCTAATGGGGATAGCAATTTTGCCCCCTCTCACAAGGGACCTTCAACAACGTCTGGGGACGTTTCTGGTTGTCACAACTTGGGGAGAGAAGAGTGCTATAGGCATCTAGTGAGTAGATGTCAGGGAAGCTGCCAAATTTTCTACAATGAACAAGACAACACCACAGTAATTATCTAGCCTAAATTTTCAGTAATGCTAAGGTTTTACATATATAATTTAATCTAATCTTCACAATAACCCTATGAAGTAAGAATGATTTATTCTCTTTTTTGCTAATTAAAACAGTTTATCATTATAAATTCTTAGAGAGTGATTATTGAGTTAATGAATTCTTTAGGTTCTCAGCTTCTCCCTACCTGAGACCAGTTTACTCTATTAGCATATTTATCAGAAAGAAAGGGGGGGGAGCTCAGCCCAGCTCTGTGTTATATAAGTAACTCTGGTTTAAAAGAAAAATCTAAGGAGAAAAAAATGTTGAAATAATTAGCTGAGAGGTAGGGAGCATTCTAGCATCTCACTCATCTCTGCTTTCATCTCCCACACCCACAACTCATCAGGCACTGCCTGGACAGCCACTGCTTACCCACCTGCTGCTATAAAGAATCTAAGACCCGAGACAGTACAATGTGAAATAAATAAATAAATCAGAAATTCATACAATCGAGATTCCAACATTAGGCTCAGAATTGATTTTCAGAGTTGAGGACTTCTCTTCTTATAATAAATCATTGACCCTTGGTTGTATTATTTTAAGTAGCTGTGAAACCACCAGGAGATGATAATACACATTCCAATGTTTCATGCTTTCCTTTTACTTTACAGGTGAGGCGAGTCTAAGAGACCACTAGCCTGCTATAGACTCCAGGAAAAGTGATTGTGGCCATGCCTTTCCAGGTGGCCTGGTTATAAAGGGAAGGTGTTCTGGGCCTGGGTCCCCCTCAAAGGTGAAATTATCCTTGAACAATCAGAAAGCATTGTATTTTTCCAAAAGTTCTTGGCAATAACAATGCTACCTCCAGGGTAAGGGCTACCCTTCTCCAAATAAGAAAATTATTATGAAGAATTATTATTATGTTTAAAATATGTTGACTAGAAACAATGTGCCAAGATAAAGAACATTTTTAAAAACAATTCTCTGAATTCATTCCAAGTTGGTCACCCCTTTCCAATCATTTGTTCATTTTAACATTTTCACATTCCAGGCTTAAATGTTTCAAAACAAGGTACAGAATGATGGCCAATCACTTGATTCAAGGAAAGCTGCCAATACTGAGGTTGTGAGCAAATTCTAGCCACCAAGCCAGCCTCTGCTTCTGCTAGGATGTGAATCAAGAGTTCCCATGGCAGTCCCTATACACCAATAAATCACTGAATAAAAATTTTATCCTCCTACCTTGACAAATATAAATTTGTAACAACCGAATAGGCTAGATTTAAATTTAGTATCCATGGGCCTCTAGGAATTCCATTAAAAATGGAATATACTCCCATCCCACTTAGGAGCTCTGTTCACCTCTGTCCTCACCTCAGCTACATTGACACTATTTATCTGAGCTCCAACAGAGAATCACTGCTTGGGCTCAAGAGCCCAAACATTCACATCACTGTGTGTCCTAAGGGTGACAGATCCAGAATGAGGCCTATGATTCACTGGAATCAAGCAATTGAGCAGGGAGTTCTGTGATCTTGACATCAGGAATGTGGTCTACATGGAGGTGTGGACTCTTAGTGGACCAGCTTCTAGGTGCTATCAGGAGGATATGGCTAGAAGAGAGAATTTTAGTCCATTCAGACTTCTTATAAAATACCATAGACTGAGTTTTGTGCATGGTGAGAAATAAAGGTTTAATTTCATTTTGTTGCATATGGATTTCCAGTTTTCCCAGCACCATTTGTTGAAAAGGCTATCTTTTCTCCAATGTATGTTTTCGGCACCTTTGTCTAATATAATTTAACTGTAGTTATGTGGGTTTGTCTCTGTGTCCTCTATTCTGTACTTTTGCTGGTGGGACTGCAAATTGGTGCAGCCTATCTGGAAAGCAGATGGAGATTGCTTGGAAAACAGGGAACGGAACCACCATTTGACCTAGCTATCCCACTCCTCGGTTTATACCCAAAGAACTTAAAAACAGCATACTACAGGGACACAGCCACATCAACTGTTTATAGCAGCACAATTCACAATAGCTAAACTGTGGAACCATCATAGATACCTTTTAGCCGATGAATGCATGAAGAAAATGTAGTATATTTACAAAATGGAACATTACGCAGCATTAAAAGAGAATAAAATCATGGCATTTGCAAGTAAATGGATGGAGTTGGAGAATATAATGCTAAGTGAAGTAAGCCAATCCCAAAAAAACAAATGCCGAATGTTTTCTCTGATATGAAGATGTTGATTCATAATGGGGATACGGGCAGATCATGGGAGGAATAGACAAACTTTAGACAGGGCAAAGGGGAGGGAGAGGGATGGGGGTAGCAAAGGAAGTGGAATGAGACAGACATCATTACTCTAAGTACATGTATGAAGACACAAATGGTGTGACTCTACATTGTGTACAACCAGAGATATGAAAAATTGTGCTATATATGTGTAATATGAACTGAAATGCACTCTGCTGCAATATGTAACAAATTAGAATAAGTTTTTAAAAATACTATTGACTGGGTAACTTATAAGTAACAGAATTATATTTCTTATATTTCTGGAAGCTGAAAAGCCTAAAGTCATGGTGCCAGTAGAAGAATTGGTGTCTGGTTCCTAGGCAGCTAGCTTCTCACTGTGCCCTCACGTGGTGGGAAGGGCTAGCTTATTCCCTAGGGTCTCTATTACATGAGCACTAATTCCAAAAGCCTTTCCAAAGGTCCTACCTCCTAACACATCACCTTGGGGGTTAAGATTTCAACAGATGGATCTTGAGGGTATACAGACATTCAGACCAGAGTGGAGTCCTTTAAAGCACAGAGCCTGGAGAAGGAGTCACTCTTCTCTGGGTTTCAGGCCATACTGTAAGGCACAGAATTCATGTCTTCTCCTAGAAGGTAACTTCAGTGCATACTGTCATTGACACACAGGCATTTTCCTTAGAAATTGTGAATTCTGTGACCCCAAACACCTGCAAACCTGGCTTTGAGAGCCCAGAGTGCTTTCTTCAGGGCTGGACCCTACAGACTGGTGTCACTGGTAGAGTTGATTGGCTCTGATACCTGTCCCACCCTATTGTCCCAAATCTCCACAGTTTGATGGCCATTTCTTCCCAGTGGAGCTGTGATTGCTTTCAGATGCCAAAGGAGGGTATTCAAAGAACTAGAAGACCTGCATGCTAGTTCTGCCACTAATAAGCTGTTGGATTCAAAACACTTAACTCATTTCCCTGGGTCTCCGTTTCCCTGTTTGAAGAGTATGGGCATTAGACTAGGTTAGAAGTCAAAAACTGGTGGGTCACTGGCCCATGAATGTGGAATTTCAGTTGAACAGAAAGGGAGAACTTCACAGGGCTTAAACATTTTCAGTTAGTAAACCAATCCTTTAAAAACTGGGAAGTTTCAAATAAAATCCCATTCGTGGTTTTTCCCTAAATATAAAAACCACTGTACTCGTCCCCAGTAATGGAGATTTTCTTCTACATACTAGTCTCCCAAACCCTCCATGCCCTATGTAAGGTCTAAGAGAGAGACCTGGAGAAAAGAAAGTGAAGTCAGAGGGAGACATAGAAAAGGCAAGTGCAGCTGCAGAGGTCAGGAGGAGGGAAAGGAAACAAAGAAACAGACTGATAAGGGGAACTAGTGAATAGAGCAGTTGCATGGTGTTCTATGTGCCAGGCATGGCTTTCAAAGTCTTACATATGTGACAGTTCATTTAATCCCCATAAACCCTATGTGGCCAGTTCCATTATCCCCCCTCTTCCCCATTTTATACAGAAGAAAACTGGAACTCAGAGAGGTGAAGAAACGTGCCCAAAGTCCCAGAGCTAGAAACAGCAGAGCTAGGATTCTAATCCTGGTATGGCTTCCCATCTCACTCTAAGTCCAAGCGTGGTTCTTTCAATGGCTCTGCCCAACCTCTGAACTGCATAACCTCCACTCTACCACAGCCTCAATTGGCTTCAGCCTGCTGATCTTCCTATATTTCCGCTGCTTGGACCACTCTCCCACCAGATATCTGGTCTGCTCCCTTACTTCCTCCAGGTATTGAGTCAGTTGCCAATATTTCCATGAGGACTTCATGATTATACTGTTTAAAAACTGTTGTCAGACACCCACTCCTCACATACTCTCACCCACTTCTTACTCCCCTCTCTGATTTTTTGCCAAAATATATACCATCATTGAACATATCACACCTTTTATCTTAATCTGCCTTCTTATTCTGAATAGAGGGGAGGAGTTTTTGTCTATCTTGTTCATTGCTAGAACTCTGGTTCTTACAACAGTGGCTGGCATATAAGAAGACTCAATAAATATTTGTTGACATAACAAATTTTAAAATACATCTGAGCATCCAAGTTTCAAACAGTCTGGTTTTATCAACATTGTTTTCTGTCTCCTCTCAGAAATTCTTTGGGGTCACACATCCTTTCTTCTGGATTATGGCGCCTCTGAACCATCTAAGTGGCTACATAAATTCCACCTGTGGGGCAGAAAATTCCACAGGTGCCAACCGGGCCCGCCCACATGCCTACTATGCCCTGTCCTACTGTGCGCTCATCTTAGTCATTGTCTTTGGCAATGGCCTAGTGTGTGTGGCCGTCCTGAAGGAGCGAGCCCTGAAGACCACCACCAACTACCTGGTGGTAAGCCTGGCTGTGGCAGACCTGCTGGTGGCCACCTTGGTGATGCCCTGGGTGGTATACCTGGAGGTGAGTAGGCTCCAGGCTGTGTTGCTGATAATGACTGTGTTTGTCTGTCTGTCTTTCCTGAGTACCTGGGCTTTAGGGCTCAAACTACTCCTTGCTATAGTCTAGGAACTGGAAAAGGAGGGAGAACTCTTGTTCTCCCTATAATGAAGGAATTGAAACTCTCAAAGGTGGCCACCATCCATCCACATCAAAACCAGGGAGTTGTGAATGATTCAGTTCCTGTGTGTCCCACACCCAGATGACTGGACATAAGTGGTAGGACTCTTCTAAAATGATTCTCTGTGCCAGCCATATCTCAGAGAAGTGAGAAGCTAGGGGAAGCAGTCTGATGTGTATCTTCATCTAGGTTCAACAGTTATGGGAGTGAGGGTGTGAGGTAGCAATACAGGGCAAGAAGGAAAAAGCATTAATGAATGAGAGAAGAGAAAGAATGGTCTGCAAATAGATCAGATTTCTCTCCATGGTTCAGCTGCCTTCCCTCTTGGCTCTTTCTTCCTGGGTACTGACTCCATAGATTCTGCTACTGAAGGAACAGGCTAAACCTGCTTATTTATGTTTTCTATGCCTCTGTTAATAGCGAAGAATCTTCCCCATTCAGAATGCAACAGACCCTGGAGAATTCTGCAGAGAAACATTTCTTAAATTTGAAAGTATTTTCATTTAAAGGTGCAAAATAGAGTCAGGAGGTGATCAAGACAAAACATCCATTTTCTAGCAAGGAAATCAGGTACCTACAACTGTTCAAGAAATAGATATTCTTACCAGGAAAACATGCAATTACTAAAGAGGGTTTTTTTCAAACTCCTTAATATGCTATTAATATTTCTCCTCTGTTCTGTGTGTCATCCTAAAGAGATATCCAATGAAGGATCAAAATGATGCTATGATTAAGAGAAATTAAGATTCATCAAATTAATATTTCTGTTAATATTAATAGTAAAGGTGACAGTTAATTAAGTATGACATATCACGGGAGAGCAAAAGCTTTGAACATAGACTGCTATGCTAGTACCCATATTAAAGAATGGCTGGGAACTAAAATTAGACTGTGATCTCGGGTGGGGGGTACATAAAGGAAAGAAATAAATAAAATAGATAAGGAAATGGAAAAGAAGAAAAATAAATAGGCTGATTGGAAGAGGTCTAAAAGCTATGGGGAAACTTGGGGGAAAATATGTTATTTATTCCTCCCAGTTAGGATAATTCTGACGGTGAAGGATCTTGTAATTATCTTGAGTTTTCTGTCAACTCAAATAGGCTGAATCATCTTTGAAGTCAGAGGCTATGCCTTTGTTCTTCTTTTCCTTAGTCCAAACATACTACCTGGTGCATAACATGTGCTAAATAAATATTTGATATGAATGATTAAAGGAACCTGCTCTGATATGTATATATCATATGGACGATTTCTACTTACACCATCTGCATCTACATTCATTGTTACAGGCCAACTTAGTGGGGAGGGCAATGAAGTTTTATATATGTAT